GCTTATCGATGTTTCTTTCTCATCGATGTTTCTAACTCTCTCTCCCTCTCCCTTCCTCTCTGTAAAAAATCAATAGAATATATTTTTAAAAAAGTTGGCATAGACCTATTCTATAAATCCTGTGTCCCAGAAAAGATTGAAATGATGATGAAGATGATGATCTTATGTCTGTCATAATGAAAGCCACATCTGTTCTCCCTTCAGAGGAGATTCTTCTGTGTCCCTCCACTTAGGCCTTGGATGCTGCCTCCTATCAGAGGCTCCCAATCTCACTTCTTCTTTTACCTGCGCCTTGATTTCTTCTATTTTGTTCTTTAGTGGCATCTTCACTATGTGTTTAAACATATTTGTCATTAAAAGAAACACACCTTCCCTTGAATCTCCTGTCTCCTTTACAATACCGCCCTATCTTCCCAGCCTACTTAGAGTTGCATTTGTCACTTCTTTACATTCCAGTCATTCTTCAGCACCCTACAATCTGCCTTTCGCCCTGAGTCATGCCACTGAAACTCCTTTTACCTTTCCTTGCTTTGTAGATCTGACATTGTTGTCCTCTCTATTTCTTTTCGTCCCCTGCCCCACCGCCTTCTTTCTTTTTGGCTACTCCTTTGAGACTCTTTGAAGGCGACTCCCTTCTGCCTATCTTTGAAAAGTTCTTATTTCTCAGAGTTCCATCTTTGGCTGTCTTCTTTCTTTACACATCTGAATTATCTTCTCCATGGCCAGGGCTTCTGCTACTGTTTGTAAGTCGTGACACCCGAATCTATATCTCTAGTCCATATTTCTGTATTGAGATTCAGATCCTCATGTCTTCTCTCGCTGGGTATCCCACAGATTCTTTAACTAGTCATCTTCCACTAAATCTTATTCTTTTCTGTGATTTATCTTGGTGGACTGCACCACTATCTGTTTAGCTGCCCAAGTCACTCTTCCTACTGCACTCTTCCCACTCCTTCAATCTCCACATTTAATCAATATCCAATGCTGTTTGTTTTAACTCCATAATTTCTTTCAAATCCATCTCCATTGCCACTGTTTTGATTCAGGCCAACATCACTTTTCTCTCCTTAGTTACTGTTGTAGTTTCTGAAAAGTTTTTTCTGACTTCAGTTTTATCCTTCAATCTTTTCTCTACGCTGAATCATCCAGAGTTCTTGCTGCTGTTCGCCTTTTCCCACTCCCCATCCTCGTCTCCTATCCCTTCCCCCCTCTCCTCCTCCTCCTCTCCCTTCTTCTTCTTCTCTCTTTATTTTAGGCTAAAGACAAATCAATTTTGACTCTTTTGCATGAAAATTTTCAGACCATTGCCTTGAGGACGAAGTTCAAAATTTTTAGGATATCTTACAAAGTTCTTTTTTAATTTTTGTAAAAATATATTTTTATTGATTTCAGAGAGGAAGGGAGAGGGAGAGAGAGAAACATCAATGATGAGAGAGAATCATCGATTGGCTGCCTCCTGCATGCCCACCACCAGGGATCGAGATGGCAACCCGGGCATATGCCTTGCCCGGGAATCGAACCATGACCTCCTGGTTCATAGGTTGACACTCAACCTCTGAGCTATGCCAGTTGGGCTCTTTTCAAAGGACTTTTGTATATCTCACTCAAACCCTTCTCTAACCTCCCAAACTCTATTTCCAAATGTTACTTGTGCTTTCAAGAATGCAAAATGCTTTTTCTGACCAATAAGCCTTTACAATAGGCTGTTTCAAGGCTTGGCTACTTCCCCTAACCATCTGTCTTTATACCTCTCATAGCTCTAGTCACATAGTGCTGCTGTTTGCTAGTCCACCTTTTTGAAGGTGGGTCTGTTTCTTGCTTATCAATGCATCTTTGTGCCTAGTACAGTGCTAGTCATGGAGTTGGTATCTAATAAGTACTATTGAAAGAACAAGTGGATAAACAATATGGTCCATAAGGTTTCAGCTCCAAGCTGGAAGGGAGATGGAAAGAAATAGAAACATTGATGAGAGAGACACATTGATCAGCTGCCTCCTGCATGCCCCCTACTGGGTAATTGAGCCCCAAAACTGGGCATGTGCCCTGACCATTAATCAAACCCAGAATCTCTTGGTCCATGGGAAAGCACTCAATCCACTCAGTCATACCAGCCGGGTTTAGGTTGCTTTTTTGCTAGTAACCATCTGTTTCATCTAGGCATAGTTAATGTGCAAAGCATTGCACATTACCCAAAGAAGAGGGTTAACAATCTCTTTTTAGTTTTGAAATCTATAACTTGAACATCTGCTCACTATTCCCACCTTATTAAAATAAATAATAGATTCTTTCCCACTAACCACAGTTCTAGAGAATTATAAAGAGAATATCTTTGATTTGCTTTTTAAAATGTTGCCAAACTACTACTTTCTGAAAAATTAGTGTATCCCAAATGCTCCCAGCTTCTATTTAGGACAGTAACTGCCAGTATCCTTGTTTTATAGTTATTATAATCAGCTTGGGGCTTGGGAAGCTAAATCTGCTTCACATTTAAATCAAAATTAAAAAATATTTGTGTCTGAGAATACTTTAAATTATGTCTGGCTTTTAAAGTTCCCTGTACTACTCACGTGATATCATTCTTTTAAGATACAATATTATGATATTATAGATATGCATTTGTTTAAACTTTAATAAGATACAGCAAGGTTAGGTTTTGAGAGCTCTCTTTTGAATAAATAAATTTGATACTGAAATTGCTAACCCAGGTTTCCACTAACTTCACTGTTATCATTTGAAGACTGATTTATTTTATTCTTAATTTTGAGTTTACTACATTTTACCATTGACTTTTGAGTTGAGTTGATTCAGACAGTTTCTGTGTTCAACTAATGGATTCGGGAAGCAGGAGCCGCTGTTTGATTTCTATAGTGCAGAGGAAAATCGACATCCAAATTTGGCTCAACATTTCACATAGACATGGATGGAACCCAGGAAACACATTTAAAAAAGGCTTTCTGGCAAGAAAATGATTTACTAAAGATTGCCTTTCCTTCACATGAAGAGACTTTCTCATCATGAGAGGGGGTGAAATTAATACATAGAGTGTAAGTAGCAGAGATGAGATTTAATTCAAGAAGTTAATTTTGGTACTATGCATTTAAAAAAACCCCATGTACTCTTATTTTAAAATTTCCTGAAAAAAAAATGTTTGAGAGCCACGAGCCCATTCGGTGCCCTAGCATGTTTGGTGTAATAAGTCCTCCTGATTAATATTGAAACATGCAGCAATGAACCATGGTGATTGCAGTTTCAACAAACACGTTAAAATGTTCAAACACTGTGAAGTCTCCTAGGCATGCATTGGGTTAATGGGCCAGTCAGGCCAGATTTCTGGAAGATAAGGTTTTCATAATCTTTTAAAAATCTTTGAGCAGACAACTGTCACTTCCACTTATGTATTGTCTCTGGGTCTCTGAAATGATTAGAGTCTGGGGAAAGTGTGTTCTAGGAACTGCTTTGAGGTGGTGTAGTTGAAAGTCTTCCTATTTTGGAGACTTAATTCCAAGGATCACTATTTATTAAGGACACTTAGCACTGCTTAGTTTTGAAAATTTGTAGTAAGAGTATATTTTAATATAATCCTTTTAAGTTGGGTTGCCAGTGTATGCTATTGAAAGTAATATTTTTAATTGTGTTAGTTTGATAATATCAAATTGAAAATGTAAAAAAAACACCCCACCCACTTATTATTTTTCAGGTATACCTATGGGAAGCCTGTGAAAGGAGATGTAACACTTACATTTTCACCTTTATCTTTTTGGGGCATTAAGAAAAATATTACAAAAAAATTTAAGGTAACTTTTACAGATGTCTTACAACTAGTAATGGGGATAACTATGAGCATTCTTTTTCTAGAAATAAGATTTGTACTGAATTAACAAAATAACCAAGTGTAAGAAAAAAAGAGCTTTTGACATTGGATAAGTGAGAATTTACCCTTTTATAGTGATTAGAGTCAAACCAGAGCCGTCACATTGTTAAATGTGACTTAGTTTGAGTTTTAGTTCTAAAATTTGGATTGCTAAAGTGAAGAATAAAACTAATTTTTTTTAACAAAACAGATAAATGGATCTGCAAACTTCTCTTTTAATGACGAAGAGATGAAAAAGTTAATGAATTTTTCAGATCAGCTTTCTGAACACATGTCTCCATCATCCCCTGGGCCGGTAGAAATTTTAGCCACGGTGACAGAATCACTTACAGGTTTGTAGACTTTGAAATGAAGGTACAGTTATATATGTGGTGCTGCTCTGTCATCTTTCTTAATTTTTTTTTGTGTTTTGTTAATCCTCACTGGAGGATATTTCTTCCATTAATTTTAGGAAAGGAAGGAGGAGGAGGAGAGAGGAGAGAGAGAGAGAAAGATCGATGTGAGAGAGCTATGCTGGCCAGGGTTGCTCTGTCATTTTTCTTATTATAACTAGCATGTTTGTCTGGGAACATCACTGCCTTTCTAAAGATGCTGTTAAATGCTGAAATTGTCACAACTGTTCATTAGTCCAGTGTGCAGAATGTTTTCATCACGAAGGGGAAATTTATTTCCTATAAAAGTCTGTAATTCAACCACATGTGATAGATAGTCGTAATTTTTTCCATTTCTGTTCTTTATTTTCAGCATGAGAACTACGTGGAAAGACATACCTTTTTAGCTGACTGACCATCTTTATTTTTTTTTTAAATCACTTAACATCTTCTGAAATCACACCTGCTCCCAGACAGTTTTCTCTTAATAATAAAATAAAAGTTAATTATGTGGATCTTTCTGTTGCTATTTCAACAGCTTTCACCAATCCCCCAAAGAGCAAAAGACTATTCTGTCAATGGCCTTAATCTGTTGGGGTGCCAGTAATGGTGCTTAGAAGGGACCCACGGAGGACAGAATAGCCGCAGAAGCCGATGTGGGAATGAGGTTTCTGTGCCCTGATATCTTAGCCCCTTGGGGAATTAGCTCAGATGGAGAAGTTTGGTGGCTAGAAGCTGTTGGTGAACTACAACTTTGGCTTTCTAAATGATGTAATTTCCAAAACAGGTATCTCAAGAAATGCAAGCTCCAATGTATTTTTCAAGCAGCATGAGTACGCCATTGATTTCTTTGATTATGCTACTGTCTTGAAGCCATCTCTCAACTTCACAGTCACTGTAAGTTGGGATATTTATCAGTGACCTAAGAGCATTAAGTTCAATTAAATGAAACAAAATGCAAAATAATTTTTTTTCAGTGCTTTTCTAAAAATTTAAGCTAAAAGTGGACAGATTACTTTTCCTATTTAAATTTATGGGGTATATAGAATTGTGTCCAAATGACTTTTGTCTAATTTTTCTAAAAGGGTAGTTTCCAACAAAGGTATTTTTAGAAATTTATTTAATAACCCATTTAAGTTAGATTTGGGTTGTTACAATGAAGTCTTTATAAAGTCATTGAAGGAATTAGATGCTGATCAAAATTATTCAATTTTAATTAGATTTTTATAGTGACTAATTTTAGTTCTAGCAAAGAGGCAGCATTAAAAAATGATCAACAAATCTACTCATTTTTCCCCCTTTTTAAGAGAATGTTGAACTATCACTTGTTAATCAAGTGAATGTTGACACTGTGTAAGGCATGGTGATCTATTGGGCTGGAGAGATGAGAAAGACGCAGTCCCTGCCCTGGATTCACAGTTTTTGTGATGGTGACAAGAAAATACACACACACACACACACAACTAGAATTCAAGGCAGGCTAAGTGTCATGAATACATTTCTACAGGGATTTTAAATAGATGTCAACAACCTTTTTCTGCAAAGGGCTAGATAATAGCAGATATTTTCAGCATTGTGGGCTATGTGGTCTCTGTCAGAGCTACTTGACTCTGCCGTGGTAGCATAAAAGCAGCCACAGCCACTTTGTAACCGACGTGGGTGGCTCTGTTCCAGTGAAACTTTATTTACAGAGACTGGACTTGGCCTCCTAACCTGTTGCAGTTTGTTGATCCTTCCTTTAAAGAAAGGAGGCGTCCCTTCTTATTGAATGACTCAAGAGAAATTTTAGATAGTTTCTGATTTCAGTGACCTTATAATTGACAGTTTGAAAAGGTAAGTAAGTAAAACCAAACACCAAAAACCAAAAACTATAGTAACTTCCAAATGAGTTGAGTGAAACAACAAGAGCCCTAGCTGATTTGGCTCAGTGGATAGAGCACCAGCCTGTGGACTGAAGGATCCAGGGTTTGATTCCTGGTCAGAGCACATGCCCGGGTTTCAGGCTCAATCCCCAGTGGGGGGCATGCAGGAGGCAGCCGTTCAATGGTTACCTCTCATTATTGATGTTTCTATCTCTCTCTCCCTCTCCCTTCCTCTCTGAAATATATATATGAAATATAAAAAAAATATATATGAGCTGAGGGAGGAAGAATTGCCTTTGGGATAGGGAGGAGGGTCATTAAAGGGATGCTCTGTGGAAGGGGAAACTTTAAGCTATTTGTTAGAAGATCAAACAAGGATTTTACATGTTTGGGTGTGGGGTTGGGAGGTGGAGGGCAAGGTGAGCTGAGACGCAACTTGACCAGCGCAATTGCAGCAGAGAACTTGTGTCTGGGAATCGTCAAGAAGAAAACAGGAGGCAGACCTTGAGGAGTTGTAGAGCATCCTGAATGGCTCACATATGTGTTTGAACTTTATGCTCCAGGCAGTGAAGAGCCCAGGAGCCTGTGAACGTGGGAGGGGTGAGGTGGAAGCAGTGTTCCAGGGAGACTGACCAAGGGCCTGTGCAGGAGGATGGCAACCTCATGTGCTGGATGTGGGAGTGGAGAGGGTGAAAGAGAGAAGTACAGTATAAGACTTGGTGTACAGTAGATTTGGGAGGTGTGGAAAGGGAGGGAAAATTCAGAGACAAGCCTGGCAGAATTGCGGTGTTAGTAAAAAGAGGACTGGTGAGAAGGTTACTCAGTTTTAAATGTGTTGAATTTGAGATGACAAGGTTATACAAGTAGAAATATCCTGCAGGTATTAGAGGTGTTGAGCATGAGCTCCAGAGTGAGGTATGGATGGCAGTAGGAAGACAGAAGAACAGATCATTGATAATTTGGTCTTGACAAATCTCCACATTTAGGGGAGGGGAAAAGGAACCAAGAAGGGCACCGAGAGGATGGAGGAAGAGGGGTGTGAAGTGAAGGAGGTTGTTGGGGAACCACTGAAGGCAAGAGAAGCTATAATATCAAGAAGGGAGTCATCAGTGGAATCATCAGGAAGTTAGGGTGCCACTAATAATTTTGATAGTTTGGTTTTATTGATGGAAACTGGGTTCAACTGAACTTAACCCCTTCCCCAACAATTTTTTTGTTAAAAACGTTTCTTTTTCAGACTAATTTTTTTATTTTGGTTCTATATAGTATTTTTGATGCTGGTTATGAAAACAGTTTGTAACTCGTCTTCCTACAAACCATATTTTTTTTACCATATTTTCTTAGTATACTCGTCGACGACTGAAAAAGAACATTTTGTGAAAACGTGTATACACGTTTCTACCGGGGAAGGGGTTAAATCCTTGACTTCTCTTTCTCTTTTTTCAATACATTTTTATTGATTTCAGAGAAGAAGAGAGAGGGAGAGAGAGATAGAAACATCAATGATGAGAGAGAATCATTGACCAGCTGACTCCTGCACCACCGCGACCCCCCGCCCCCGGGGATTGAGCCAGCAACCTGGGCATGTGCCCTGACCAAGAATCGAACTGTTTCCTCCTGGTTCATGGGTCGATGCTCAACCACTGAGCCATGCCAGCCAGGCTCCTTGGCTTCTCTTGTAACCTGTTTTTAAAATGTTGTGTTTTGATTATTAGGTGAAGGTAGCACGTTCTGATGGCAAGCAACTGACCCTTGAAGAAAGAATGAATAATATAACAGTAATGGTGATACAGAGAAACTCTACAGAGTACGGGAGAGGATGGAATAGTAGAAATCAGGAACTAGAAGCTTCCCAGGTCCTAAATTATTCTGTCCCCCAGAATGGAATCTTAAAGATTGGATTCCCAATCCTGGACAATTCCACTCAGCTGCAAGTAAAGGTACCATCTGTTTTCCATCATTATGGTACTGTAGTAACATCATTAAAATTGTAACCTTGTGGTAGGCATTCAATCTGCTGGAGGTCAAAGTGCACAGGAAGTGGACATGTTTCTATTTCTAAAAATGGGGGAAAGTGTTAAAAGTAATTTAATGACAGTCTCTCAAGGTTATACTGAATGCTTCCTCATTCATTCATTTTGCAAAGCATGGTAAAATAGAGCAAACTGAAAATATGATGGAGAAGCTCCCCAAACTCCAAGTCTAGGTTGATTCTCAATCACTTGAAATTGTGCTTTGGCAGGAGCCAAATATGATTTCTTGCTTGTAAATGAGCTCTGTGTTGTGGAGAAAAGGAAAGGAATCCTTTTTTGTATCATTTTCCCTTCTCACAATGTTTCCCAATAATATACTTTTGTTTCTGAAATAAGTTAGGACTATGCTTTTATTCCTCTTAGATCATGATGATGAAGACACTCTTCCGTGCTTTACAGCTATCACTTTGTTTATAGTATAAGCTATGAAATGATAAAGATCTAGTGTCTGGGGAATGTATTTTTCCTACATAAAAAAAAGTAAAAGTGTATTTGCTTTTCAGTAATTGTGCATCAGGGTAAATCTTTTCTCAAGGTGCTGCTAAAAATACAATTTTATAGCTCCCTTTTCTTTTGTTATAGGCCTTTTTTCTTAATAGTGTGAATAGCATGGCGGCTTATGGTGTGATAGAAAAACAACGATGAGAGAAAATCATTGATCAGCTGCCTCCTGTACACCCCAAACTGGGGATTGAGCCCACAACTCAGGCATGTGCCCTGACTGGGAATCAAACCGTGACCTTCTAGTTCATAGGTTGATGCTCAACCACTGATCCACAATGGCCAGGCTAAACTTACTTATTTTTAAAATTCAGCCTCACACTTTTTAGCCTGTCTTTTTTATACTGTAATCACAATATAGCCTGTCTTCTTTCCTTGCCTATATTTGCATTTCCAATTTAAGATGGGTAATGAAATGTTGCATTACATTTAAAATTTAACTTTTAAATTTTAAATTTATATTAGATATGCCCCATATCTTCACTGCAGAAAATTATAAACTATAAGAAAAACAAAAAAGAAAGTAAAATTGTTACCCTTAGCCTTGTAGTTTTGCTAATCCAGGTCTCCCAAAGATGCTCTGTATTCCTTCCGTTCAAAAAAAGACTTTTAAAAAATTTCTTAAAAATTATTTATTTATTTTAAAGTATAGTTGGCATATACTATTATATTAGTTTCAAGTGTACAAAGAGTAATTAGACATCTACATGCCTTATGAAGTGATCACCTTGATAAGGCTAGCACCCATCTGACACCATACATAGTTATTACAATATTATTGACTATATTTTCTATGCTGCACTTTATAGCCCCATGACTATTTTTATACCTGGCAGTTTGTACTTCTTAACCCCTTTCATCTTTTTGTCCATCCCCCATCCTCCTTCTATCTGGCAATCATCAGTTTGTTCTCTGTATCTATGAGTTTGTTTCTTTTTGTTTTGTTTATTTGTTTTGCTCTTTAGATTCCACATATATATATGAAGTCATGTGGTGTTTTTCTTTCTCTGTCTGACTTATTTCACTTAGCATAATGCCCTCTAAGACCATCCATGCTGTCGTAGATGGCAAGATTTCATTATATTTTGGCTAATATCCATTGTATATATCCACTACATCCTCTTCATCCATTGTCTCTCAGTGAGCGTGTAAGTTGCTTCCAGATCTTGGCTATTGTAAATAATGCAAAAAATAGAGTCTTGGTGAAACTACTACGGTTGCCTCAGTCAGTGTTGCTTTGGCTTATCCTTTCCTATTTCCCAACCTACATGTACCCTCTGTGTTGGTCAGGGTGGCTTTCTGGCATTCAAATCGACTTTGAAGTTGGTTTAAGTAAAAAAATTTGTGTGTATAGTTAAAGTCATGATAAATGTAGCTGTGGTTGAAATTCTCACTGGCTTTAACATAAAATGAAACTCAACTACCATGTTTTTCAGGTAATATCCAGGGGACAGTTAATGGTTGTGGGCAAGCAAAATTCAACAACCTTCTCTTTAATACCAGAAAATTCTTGGGCTCCAAAAGCCTGTGTCATGGTGTATTATATTGAAGATGATGGGGAAATTATAAATGATGCTCTAAAAATTCATATTCAGGTTGATTTTGAAAATAAGGTAAGGTTTCAGGTAATGATGTTTAAAATAAAACTTTATGTTTGTGAAGTATAAGAAATGTAATTTTTCTTTGGAAAAGTATCATTAAACCAAACTGGTTAGAAATTTATATTCATTTCTAGAACTATGTTTAACTCTCTTCATATTTAGTTACTACATGTGTAGTGCTGCTGCTTTCTCTCCAGCACTGGCTGGGAGCTGAGTTGTGAGGGATGGAGAAAGGGAAGAGGAAAGATAGAGAGTGAAGGGTAATTTAGATTTATGCCCCTGTGAGATGTTCCATCACTTGCAAACACTGTGGCAGTAAAGTTTTTTACTTTTAAAAATATGTTTTTCCTAGAGAAGGCTTATGTATGGTTTCAGAATGATCTCTGAGCCAAGGCAACTGTGGAATTTTTGCTAGATTTGAAGTGTTGCTCTGTTATTGGTAAGTAATGCTTTAACCAGTGAAATCAATCCAGTTCTCTCCCTTTCCTAGGTAAACCTATTTTGGAGCAAACCTCATGCTGAGCCATCTGAGAACGTCTCTCTGAGGGTCGCTGTGACACAGCCCTACTCGCTAGTGGGGATGGTAGCTGTTGACAAAAGTGTGTACCTGATGAACGCCTCAAATGATATTACCATGGAAAATGTGAGTGTAGCTGTGTCTCCTTCCAAAAATACACGTGAAAGAGAAACTATTGCAGGATGTCAGATATCTGAAAGAAATTTCATTAGTTCCTCTTTAGGTGTAGTTAATTCCCAGGAAAGCTTCCAAATAAACTAGGATCTGCATTTCAGTCTTTATGTTGGGAAGAGGCTTATGTGGTCCATTGTCGTTGCTGTCTTACACGAGAAATGCCACCTTCAGTTTTCCCTCATTTTCATACTATATTTTAATTTAAGACTCTTGAGGCAGTCCTGGGAAATTGACTTGCCCAATTCTGGGTGACATCGGACCAGAGAGCTTTTGATAGTTTTGAAATACCTTCTATTTGGCTACACATATGGTTAGAAACAATTACAGTCCACATTGAATCAGAAATTTGCAGTGTATTGAGGGAGTGAAATCATGTGAAACTTCAGAAAATTTACAAAGCAAGAAGTATGTGAATGTCTAGTTTTACACAAACGAATACCCTATTTATTAGTCCTTACAGTTTTATTTGTAAGTTCTTGATTTATCCTTGTGTACCAGTGCCAGTTGAAATCTAGATTGTATAACTTATGCCTGTTAATTGATTATGTACAGTGATTAACAATGGCAGGAAGAAAGATATATATGCTTATACTAATTTGGTCATCTTATTTTAAAATTAATACTCTTGAGGAAAATTATACTTTTTTTCGGTCTATGCAGCTAATTTTTTTTCAATCCTTTAAAAAACAAACACAACTCATTTATAGCCCATTGGTCATATTTTTCTCTTGCCTTTTCTAAAATTCACATTATTCTAAAAAGTATATAGCATCTTGCAATTGATTTAACTGAATATAGTAATAGCTATCATTTTACAACTTTATAAACATCTTAAATATTTTTATTTTTTCATCCCTATATGTGCATGCACACGTGCACACACGCAAACACACACACCTTTTATCACTCATGCTCTCTGTGCTTCCTGTCTCTATCGCTGTCTCTCTCTCTCTCTCTCTCTTTTTTTTTCTCTCTCTCTCTCTCTCTCTCTCTCTTTTTTTTTTCCGGAGGGAGCAGCCCGTTTGACACCGTTAGGAGTGGTCAGAGTCTCTGGGACTTGATGCTCCACGACCGGGCCAGCGCGAGGCACCAGCGCGTTTAAGGAAAAGGATAT